GTTGGGAACTCGGGTCGTGGGGTAGGTAGATAGGAGTCCAAAGGGAGTTGAAGTTCGCGGCCATAAGTCAGCATAGCGGGAGTGAAGCCCGTTGACTTGTGTATGGTACTGCGGTAGGATAGGAGACAATGGGGAATGAGGGTGTCCCAGATGTCGTTGTTGGCCGAATCTATGAACGCTCGTAATAGAGACAAAATAGATTTGTTGGTTCTCTCCGTCGGTCCGTTGCCTTGTGGGTGATAAGCTGTGGTCCTCGTTTTCTGTATGCCGAGTCGACTACACAGTTCATGCACTAAGAGGCTTTCAAAGTTGGCACCTTGGTCGGAGTGAATAACATCCGGTACCCCGAAACGGGCAACCCACGTACTCATGATCGCCTCTGCGACCGTTGCCGTTGTCTGGTCGGGTAGGGGAGCCGCTTCCGCCCATTTGGTGAAAAAGTCGACCATCACTAAAAGGTATCGATTACCCTTCCGTGATTGTGGGAAAGGGCCTACGATGTCGACTCCAAGGCGCTGATTTGGGTAGCCGGTGGAAATCGGCTGCAACGGTGCTCTGGGGTTGTGAGTGGGATGTTCAAATCGCGCGCAAACTCCGCACTCTTGGCATATGAGTGCCACATCTTGACGAAGATTAGGTGACCAGAAGCGAAGCCTCGCCGCTTTTTCCAGTTTGCCTTGTCCCGCGTGGCCCAGTTGGAGGTGTAGCTCCCGTAAGACGCTGCGTGTATGAGCCGGAGGGAGGACGAGGCGGGTCGGGGATTGGGGGTTATACTTGAAGAAAAGTACTCGATCCCTCATAAGAAGGTTTTGCCAGGAGGCCCACAGGGTTTGTGCTTCACGGCTTTCCCCGGACATCTGGTTTTTCGACGGTTTGATGGACCCTCGCACAAATCGGTCGTAGATGAGACCGACATCCGGATCGTTGGCTTGTAGGTTAGCCCAGTTCACCGCCGAAGTGGTCACCGACAGAGCATTAACGTCGAGATCTTGGCAAGAGGAGCAGCTGTGGGGCTCACGCATGGGAATTCGCGATAGTGCGTCCGCGTTAAGGTATTGCTTCCCAGGGCGATGTACGACGGTGAAGTCAAAATCCGCCAACATTTCCTGCCACCTTGCTACTTGTCCTTCCGGTTCGTGGAAATTCTGTAGCCACTCCAGAGCTGAGTGGTCCGTCCTGATGATGAAGGGTTTGCCTTTTTAAAACGCAGCAAATTTCTTGGTGAAGGAGACTAGAGCTAACATCTCTCGCCGTGTGGCGCTATAATTTCGTTCCGACTTATCAAGCGTACGGCTGCCTTACTGTATAACGTGCTCTCTGCCATCGGTGTCTGTCTGCGACAGTACTCCTCCTATGGCGTGACTACTAGCATCTGTGTCTAGGATAAATTGGGGTCCGTCACGACTGAGATCGGGAAAACTGAGAACGGGGGCGGCGGTAAGGGCTTCCTTTAGGTGTGAAAAGGCGTCCTCGCACTCGGTTGTCCACTTAAATGGTCGGGACTTCTCGGTCAGTCTCGTGAGAGGGAAGGCAAGGCGAGCGTACGACGTATGAAAGCCCTGTAGTATCCTGCTAGGCCCAGGAACGAGCGGACTTCATCTCCGTTGGCCGGCTGGGGCCAGTCTATGACTACCTGGATCTTGTCAGGATCCGTTTTGAGGCCCTCGCGGCTTACTATGTGGCCGAGTAAGGGAATTTCTGGTTGGAGGAACTTGCACTTCTTTGGATTGAGTGTCAGACCGGCATCTTGGTTCCTCGTTAAGACTTCCGAAAGGTTGTCTAGCAGTTCTGATATCGTGGTGCCCCACACTATGACGTCGTCTAGGTAAACAAGGCACTTCGATGGACAGAGGTTTTGCAGTAATTTCTGCATGAGGCGTTGGGAGGTCGCCGCTGCATTGGCTAGGCCCATAGGTAGTGTGGTGAACTCGAAGAGTCCCGAGGGCAGGGAAAAGGCGGTTTTTGCGCGATCTTCCGGGTGTATTTCGATTTGCCAGTAGCTTGAGGAGAGGTCAAGGGTAGAGAAGAATTTCTTCCCCGCCATAGAAGCTAGGAGGTCATCCATACGGGGAAGGGGAAAGGCATCTCTGACCGTGACCGCGTTGAGGCGTCTGTAGTCAACACAGAGACGAAGGGAATTGTCCTTCTTTTTAACCAGAGTTACCGGCGCTGCCCACGGGGAGGAGGAAGGTTGGATGATGCCTTGTTGGAGCATGTTTTCTACCATCTTATCGAGTTCTTCCCGAAAGTGGAAGGGTATCCGTCGGGGAGGGAGGTGCTGTGGAGGGGCGGATCCGGTGTTTATCCGGTGTTGGACTACGTTGCACCGTCCGATAGCCTGGTCTGCCCATGTGAACACGGATGTGAACGGTGCTAACGCGTGGAATAGGGCGCCGCGATCGTCTGCCGATATGTTATCCGGTAGGATATCTTCGATTGAGGACGGATCGAGGGGAGGTCGTGTATCGATTTCGACACTGTTTACGTCCACGGTTACCTCGTCGTCTTTGAGGATTAGGGACTGAGAAGTGGGGGAGAAGGTAATAGCCTGGGCATGTCGTTTTAGAAAATCGCAGCCGAGTATGACATTCCATTTCAGTTCAGAAGACACGAGGAAGCAATGCCGGATAGTCGTGTCTTTGATGGAAACTGGAACTGTGGCGGAGCCGCTAAGCTGGAGGGTGGAACTGTTGGCGGTGAGAATCTGTAACTGAGGGAATGCCGACTGAATGTAGTTTGTTCCATGGAGGAGGCTACGGTGAATCAGGGAGACGGCTGCGCCCGTGTCTATAAGGATACTGACTCTCCTATTGGCCACTGTGCCCGAGATTGTCAATGGCTTAAAATCAGAGGGGAGGGTGTATAAAGCGGCTAGGGGAAAGGGCTGGTTACCTGAGTTGTGTCCGCATTTCTTGGCAGCTGTGCCGAAACGGTCGCAGTAGTAACACTGATTGTTGTTTGGCGGGCCTGGAAGCCTGGGGGGTTGGAAACGTCGGTTTAAAGTGGTGTGGTAGGGTGTGGACCGGCCTGGGAGGTTGGGTGGATGACCCCAAGTAGTTGGATCTCTGGTGGATTGAGGTTCTTGCGCCAATGGGTATTGGGTGCGGCGAGCCGAGTCCAAGTCAAGAGCCTCCTTGACGTTGGCCGGTGGACGGCTGGTGAAGATTAACGCTAGTTCACGGTCGCGTATGCCCGACATCATGCGACAAAACGTGAGATCTTCATCGCCGTGAGGTGGAAAGGCGCGAAACGAGAGGTGTTTTAATTCTATATAAAAATTTAGCAGGGTTTCACCTTCCCGCTGGGTTCTATTAAAGAACCGCTGTTGTTCCGCGGCCTGGCTGGACTCTGACTGGAAAATTTGTTTGAGGGCGCCGAAGTATTCCTCGAATGCGCAGAAAGGAGAGGGAGCCAGCCCATCTACCTTGTATAAAGTTCGGGGGCGAGGAGGGATTTGAGTGTGGTTTCCGGAAGTTTTCGGGGACCAACTCTAAGTATGGCTCTGCTAGAGAGATCCATTGGGCCAGGTTGTCGTCTTGACGTAGGATCGGGGGTTGTATTGACTGGGGAGTGAAGGCTGGCGTGGTGGATGTCGGGTACAGTTGTGTTGGTGGCGGGGATAGGCCAGGCTTTGGCCGAGGGCGGTGTTGTATGTTTTTGAAGTGTAGGGTAAGGTACGAACAGGTTTCAAGAGGGGCGAAGGGCGAAGGAGGGCACGCCGTTGAGATTTTCGGGGGTGAGCCAGGAGTTGGCGTGGGTTCCCGGACGGGAGCTTTCGATCCGGACATCGCTGCCACCAAATTTGTAATGCTCCAGATAAGATGGGGGCAAACGTTTCTCAACACACGCACACACTGACGTAGAACGTGGGAAGAGATGATGAGAGTTTATTGTCTATTGATAAAGAAACACACGATGTGCAGATGGGTGAAATGGGGATACTGCCGGACACTTGTTGGAGTTATAATCGATTGGGCAGACATAAAGCATAAAAACAAGAAAAAAAGGTTACCAGGGAGGAATGACAATGTACACTTGGAGTGTGGCGTGTGTGACATGCATGAGACGTAAAATAGCCGCCAAAATACCAGGATTAAAAAACAAACGTTGCGATACGCACGACCCGCGAAGTTGTTGTTTAGCCAATCGCAGTAGGGTCCTGACGCTACCCAGATCCAACTTGCGCGGCACTCACATGCTGAAACGAAAACTCGGTAGCTTTAAAGTTTCACGGTCGATTTTAGGGACCCGCGCTCGTCTTTGTTGCCTCTTGGTTTAGTTTGCTAAGCTCCGAAATCCCGACCATGCACTTGGTTTGGTATTTTATACCCATTTTTTAATTGCTGTGCTCCATTTTTGTTTTGAAGCAACCGTGAGGGATCATGAACCGCCAGCGTTCTCGGAGGAGTCGCACATCTCGTGACACGTAAGCTGGAAGACCTACCCTATTAAATCCCCAAGTATCAAACTTCCTGTCAATGTAATTATTAAGCTATAGTATTGGGTTTTCCATCTTTGCCCTCTTTCTCGATAAACTCTTGCCGAATGGTGGGTCAGGCACTATATTTTTTTGTGCGGACTGACTGTCGCAGGGGATGCCTACATCATGAATAAGAGTTCATCTTAGAGTGTGATAGAAAAGGTGACAGGAGATGACCTGGAGCCGTCCACATTGACGGATAGTACACCGGGAGAGTTAAGGATGCCAGCAGGCCTGCGCGCTACAACTTCATGCAACCAGTTGTGGCTTTTTTTATTGGGATCACTGCTTAATAACTTATTCACAAACAATTTTGTGGTGTAAAAAAAGTAGATGAGACCAGCTTGTGAGATTCCGCATTCTGAAACGTCTTTCTGCAACCATGGAACCTTAGCGCATATCACTGGTAGACCCCTCCTCACGTCCACCCTTCTCGCTTTCCATGCCCCCGACAGAACTAGATCATAAATACCCCGACAGTTCAGAACGCCCTCAAACCTCACACCTATTACTTCTGTTTACTGACTGCTTCACCGTTACCTACATAGATTACTATACAGGCCCTAGGACGAATAATCGAAAACGTAAGTTCTCCGAACTTGACTTCTTCAAGTTGAAGAATTCGGCACATGTCAGAAAATGAATGTATACTTTTCCCCTAAGTCAGAAGTCCCCGCAACTCCTTAACAGGATAGCTAAAGTTATACTTGCAACACCGGTATTTCGTCCGAAGAAAAGACTGCTGATATAGCCTCGGCATCTGGAGCATGCTTGAAATTAGTTGGTACTCGTTGTTTGTGCACTCCGAACCGAAACACGTGAGGCAAACTGAAAACGTACTTTATATAGACAGCGTTTGATTGGAATAAACTCTTTTGTTGGAGATAGAGGTATATTTTACGAACTGACGAGAATTGAAAATATTCCGAAAAAAATTAAACTACCCGTCCTTCAGCATAAAAGTTCTCAGAGGACCTTCAAAAGACATAAAGTCAAAAATACCAATGCAGCGACCGTCACAGAGAAAGTGCCGCATTAATAAATAGAGACGCTGACACCAGTAAAAGTTAGATAACGGTAACATAGCAGCAACTATCTAGGCGAACGAAGATATTCGCCACATCGATTAAATAAATGTATAAATCCTATGCTGAGGTAGATTTAAGCAACTCTTCTGCCTATTTTAAGCTTCCTTGACTACCTCAAACACGGCACTGAGCGTTATGATTTAGGTTCATACATCAATCAGTGGATAACACGGAAGGGAAAATACTGAATTGAAGGTTTGCAGTCAAATGTGGCCCATGTAGCTTCCTAGAGACCTTGGATGCCCATTGGTTTTAAAGAGAACTATTCATAGAGTAGGTCAACTGAAATTGACGTCGTCTTTCGATTCCTCCTTCGTTTGGTGCCTTTTTTATTATTACCAATTTTGTTCCTGCATGTGTTCGGAAACTGATAAGTCAGCTTACTAACTCGCATTCGGTTGAAACTGCCAACTCTCTTATAAAACAGTTCAGCTTTTCCTCATCTGCTTGGCAAACTCCTCTCAGTCATTCTCGAAAATGACTTCTTTCCTGATTATTGGAAGACTTCTATTATTACTATTACTATTATTATTATTATTATTATTTCAGCATTTAAAGCTGGCCAACATTCTGATGTTCAAACCATCGGTGTATGTATGAAACACCTATCCTCGCCAAAACCTTTCAAAGAATTATTGCCATTAAAATTACTGACTTTTGTATGGCCGATAAAGTTATTAGCTCTTGTCAACATGGCTCCTTACCCGATCGCTCTTGTCAAACGTGTCACATGTCGTTTCTCAGTCTTCTTACCTCTCATCGTAATAATCATTTGTTTGTTGTCGTCAAATATTTCCACCTTAGTAAAGCCCTTGATAAATTGCCACTTCGAAGACTCTCATTTAACTTATAAGCTCCCCTTATTGATTTTAGTTAGTCAAATCTATTACTCGTAAACAAAAGGTTTTAGTGGAATCCTCACTTCCAATGAAGGCTCTATTGTAGGCCGTATCATTGAAAATGCCGTTTTAGGTCTTCTTCCGTTTTTGCTTTATATTACTGATATCTCGTCGGCAGCCAAACCTCGTCAATCTTTTACTTATGCTAGTAATCTCTATTGCGTATATTCATTTTCTAAATATACGACCAAACATTGCCTGGAGCAAATCCAATTTGGCATGCCTGCTATTTCCGCGCGGGGTTCCAAATCGCTGAAAGAATTCTCACAAGTCACACGTCGCTATGTGTTGTGGACCCAAAAGTTTACCACAGCCACTCGGTTTTTCACGGCGCACCTATGACCGACTGTTCCACTACCAAGGTCTAAGGTCTAAGCTACACCAATAATCTAGATTCCTCTCCACACGCCCTCAGAATTACGATCAAAACTGCGCAGATCTGTGGCTTTATTTCGCACAATTTCAATTTTTCTGAAATTAAGACTCCATGGAATGTTTGCTCTTTCCGTCGTTGAGTACTTTTGCCCTTTCTTTGACCTAATAAACGCCTGTGATCCTGGCGGAATCAAAAATTATCAGTATAATTCAGTATTTATAAGGGATATGGTCAGAGCCTTTGAAAAACTTATTCACAGATAGCCGGAGGAAAAGCTTGCACATACTTCCATAACCTTTATGCTAGTCGTTGATATCGAGTAAATACTGGACCATCAAGCATAAATTTTCAGGTCTTTTTTAAAGGTCTCAACGTTTTCTGCCAAGATAACGAAGTTGGACAAATCATTCCATCCATCAGCCAGCTGGTGGAAGGAGAGTTTGGCCGAACTTCAAGTTTGGCATGCCTTATCTTAAATTTGTATTAGTGGCCTCGGAGATTGGTCGTTCGCGCCAGTTCGAGGAGAGCACGGTCTAGCCCTCTGACGATCCTAAGGGCCATGATAAATTCCCCTCTGTGTTGTCTATAAGAGAGAGGAAATACTTTCAGCTTTTTTAGACGTCTCTCGTAAGATAAGCAACAGAATCAGTCGACCATCTTGGTTGTTCTTTGTTGTACGTTCGCAACAGGATTTAATCTTGCTTCGTCAAGGGACACCATGCCTGAACGCAATATTCCAACATTGGCCGAACAAATGTTCCAAATACTAGGCCTAAGAGTCCTCCGTCAAAATTGAGGAAGCGTCTCCTAATCGCGTCTAAGACACCCATAGACTTCTTTGATATCTTGGTGCAATGAGACGATGGTTTGATAGTTGACGTCATCCACATACTGAGGGCTATTATCTCGCTGACTGATTCGAGTTGGTGACCTCCTACAGAGTAGTGAGATTGAAATCTCAACGGCCTCCTGTTGATAGAGGGTAACCGTATAATTAGGCATTTTTTAAGGTTGAAGTTAAGACACCGCTCATCACATTATTGTTGCAGGGATTCAGACTATTTTGTAACTGTGACGAGTCTGGTAGGAGTCTACAGAGAGTTTTTACTCGAAAACTCCCCTTTCGGGCTGCATCCGCCATTTCTTATACTGAGGGATATCAGTTGACGGACATCAAGTTTTTACGGATATGAAGACTCGAAGTTGGCCTTTGCTTCCTTCTTCGCATTAACTCTTCTATGCATTGATGCTCTCACTCCGAGAGATTGGCCTTATGCCACGCGTAACCCCTCCATGGTGATTCTGCCGCCTCTTTGCTCTGCATCTAAACGCTCCTCGTTTTTGCATCCAAATATGCCT